CTACATGTTCCTTTAAATAAAATTATAAACTTAACTGCTTTAAATATAGGAAATGTCTAGTAAATGTTAGGTTATTTCTGTCCCCCAGAAGTATTTCATATTTTATATATATTCTTAAAATTAATTTAGCTGCATGGACTTTTAAAAATGGTAGCATAAATATGTAAGTGTCAAGTAAATGTATCTAGATGAAAATAATAAAAATTAAGTAAGCTGTTTCTCATTAACTAAACCAAATGAAGAAAAATAAATCTGTCCTTAGAAACACTCAGAGCAGTTATTTTACAGGAATTAAAAGAGACTGGGGAGAATTTCCTTAAAGAGAATTAGCCTATTACATCTAGCCACACTAATTATTTCCAATGTTACATAGCAGATATATAGAATATGATCAGTGATCCTAATTGAATGTGATGAGTCCATCACATTCTGATAAGTATCTACGTGTGAATGTGCAGTCCTATGTTATTGAACCTCATCTCTGGACATATTTTGGATGAAAAGAAGACAAATTAGTGTGTGTTAAGATATATGCAAACTGAAAACAGTTTCTTAAAAAAATTTACATACTAGTAACTGAAATGAGTTCTCTAAAATGCAAACCTGATCATAAGATTTTGTTTAAAAACATCCGAGTGCTTCTCACTACATATAGTGGTCTATACTTTGGTATAGAACCCAGTTCCTGTCTAGTCTTCATCTATTCAATTTACCTTGGAGTTACTTATCTTTATTGAAAATAGACAAGTCTTAAATTCTTAAAATCCCTTTGGCTTATGGACATTCATGAGAACCTAATGAAACATGCGGGCCAGCTCCCTAGGAGGCACCTACTTATCCAGAACTCTTCTACCATATTTACGGTGAGATGTTACCACTTCCATGGGCAGAATTCATTTTCATGGCTATGTGCATATATTACACAAAATAACCAGAATCAGAACTGTTCATGTAACTTTGAGTGTTCAAAGTCAGGGAACTTGTTTTGCTTATCTTTAAATCCTAGGTTCCTAATGAAGAATTATTTGCTAACACAAAGAATGACCACAGCTGGATTTACTGAGTTACTTTAAAACAGTTAAGTTCCAAACAATAATTAATATTGCACATGAATAAATACAATTGGTGAACACCTATGGTGTATAAAACCCTGTCAATAAAAATTTATTTTCAATAGTAAACAAAAGAGCATGACTATATCACAATATATATTTTATCTATCTTTAGTGATTTTTCCAAATATAAAAGGTGAGTATATTTGTTAGCCATACCCTGTTTCTGTAGAGGAGTTTAGTTTCATGAGAATTTAAGTCCATCTAAACATTTTGAGGTTCAATTTTTTCTGAGTGATTGCAAGTAAGGCCTTGAGTTGATTATAAGTTCAGTGTATTCATGTATAATATGGAGATGATGATAATAATTTTCATAACAAAATACTAATAAAAATGTCGTTTTTCTTTTATATATCAGTGAAAGATTTTGATGACAAAAGACTACACAAAAATAAATTTAATTCATTTCACATGATAGCTATTATTATGATACAGTGGTTATGAAATGGTAGGCCAATTTTTCCAAAGAAAGCTTACTAAGCAGAAGAAAAGCAAAATGCTTTTTTCACCTGATTATGTTAAGAAAAAAAAAATAAAACCTACTACAGGAGAAAAGGAGATAGACTGTGTCAAATTTTAAAATGCTGAAGTTTTTAAAAGTGAATAAAAGAAAGATCCAAACCCTCAATGTCCTATATGTGGAGAGACGTAGCGAATATTTGAAAGGATTATTGTGTAGCTAACATTTTATGGGCTGTGTTAATTTAAAAATAGTTCAGCGCAGGATATTCTATGTATTTTTAAGATAAGAGTTTAAAATACAGAGAAGAGATGGAATAACTGTTGTTTCAGTATTGTGAGTGAACCTTACAGTTTATTTCATAGCACATCTTAAGTTATAGTCAAAAGGCTATTTTTTTTTTCAAAAAATAGTAAAAACAATTAAGGGAATGCTTTTATTATTTAAAATATTACCCATCCAATTGAAACTGCAGTAAATATGATAAGTAAAGAGCAAGCAACAGATCATATAATTCTGGAAATTAGCAACAGTAAGTTTCTATGTATTTATTATATGTTAACATAATCTGGACTAATTACTACTGCACATCAATTAATGTTTATGAAATGAGCAGGTCATAACAACCCTGTGTCCTATGTATTATTGTTCCCTTTTTGTAAATAAGAACATGAATATTCAGCTTATGTGAGTAACTTTCCTGCTAAAAAAGAACTGCAAAGTAGACACACTGAGATTTTAGCTTTGACTTGCCTGATACTGGAAAAAGTACTTCTTGTGATCCGTCTATTACATCTCAAAAATCTCACCTTACTGGATTATAAACAGTTGTTTCTTAACCCACTTTTTTCTACAGGACATCAGCTGATGCTTATTAATAGAGACTAGAGGCAGAGGAGCAGAGAAGAAAAGGCAATGAAGCATTTTTCCAGAATACCCAGGCATCTAGAAGCTCAAAAGGGGCCGGGCCTGGTGGTGCATGCCTGTAATCCCAGCACTCGGGAGGCTGAGGCAGGAGGATCGCTGTGAGTTCGAGACCAGCCTGGGCTGTATAGTGAGTTCCAGGCCAGACTCAACTATACAGTGAGACCTTGTCTCAAAAAACCAACCAAACAAAGAACTCAACAATAGAAGCTCAAAAGGGCTCAAGGTGTCAAAACCCAGGTACTACCTGCAGCAGCCACTGGGAAAGGATTGCTTCTGGTTAACAAGAGGGTTGAGAGTCCACATCCATACCCTGGAGGTATGAACATGAGGGAAATGTTTCAGGGGCCTGTGGGGTATGTGTTATATTTATCATCTTGCCTGAGGAATTCACCAATTATGTGAAAATGTCAAGTGGTTTCCTTACCCGATTTTATCACTACCATTCAAAAAGTAAAAAACGTCTACTGACAATATACAAAAACCATACAAGATGAAAATATAGAAGGGTACTTTTTTCCTCAAGAGACAGAGGCAAATTAAAATGTTTTAAGAAAGGGCAATTAAAAAAACCATGAGAACAAAAAGAAAAGAAATAATGTATTCCCATAGGAATGCTATAGAAATTTTGAGATTGAAGATACTTTTGATAATTTAAGCCATGAAAATATAAATAGTCACATGCTCACACTCTTTGTACTACAAATATACATGTAAAATATAGCCATAGGAACATATTTACAAGTGCCATAAATCCATACCCAGAGTTGTCTGCGTGTGGTGGGATAATTTAAAATTTGTCCCCTTTTTACCAAAACTGCATTTTAAATATCTTCTACAGAGAAAACGTAACACTTGGAAAATAGGAGTGTGCCTCTCTCCCAAAAAAGATTCTACAACTTTGTGCATATGGGAAATCCTGAGGTTCCAGGAAAAGTGTTACAAATATGAAATGTATTATGTAAAGATGTACACAGATCCCTTTTATAGAGCACCATACTGGTATCTAGCCTAAGAAAGGAGCATCCTTTTTTTGGTAGAATTTTGACTCATGTTTTGCTCTGAAATTATTTACCAACAACTATAACCTCTCTGTTCTTTACCACATACTTTAATTAGAACATGTGAGTAGCAGGCATTGTTTATTTTTTCACCATTGCCTCATTTAATATTTGAAGGATCCTTCCACTGTAATCCTTCTGGAATGGAAGTTCCTGCATATAACTCATCCTATTGCTCCTAGGATATAGGCATCTCATCCAAGTTGGCCAATCAGAAACATTCACTCTAGCAGGTAGCTGCAGAAGCATACTGAGCTTCCAAGGCAGCAATTGCGAGGTAAAGCCATAGAGACCAGTATGCACACGGCAGTGTGAAAGCATTGTGGTATACCTCACTCTACTTCTTTTGTGCCATAATCTTGACTATGGTTATGGCTAATAAACTGGCTGCTCCTGCTTTGCATTTGGCAGTACTTGACTCTAAAACTTCCCTCTACATTTTGTAATGTGCTTACCCTAATTTTATTCTTAAATCAAACAAAGTTGTTTTCCTACTGCTTGCAGTTAAAAACTCATTGATAGTGTAAGGAAATTATTTGAGAGAGGAAAATGCATCCTGGAATGTATCCTTTCTCGTTTTGAAGTTTAGGGTAGAAATTTAAAGTTCTTGGAGCACAGGTGGTATTTTATATCCTTTTCCAGGCCAACATTGTGATTTTGGAAAAGAAAGGAGGAAACTGAACGTAAACGTCCCAAACACACAGATGGTGTTGACAAACTGAATTTGGTTTACTGGACCATAGATAGCTATTGGTATTACTGAAAAAAATCTTTGGCAAAGGGATGATACACACCTCACTGGTGTCAGTAGTGATATTTTGTACAGCATTGCTGAAAAAAGCTTTACAGTTTTAGTGATGAGGAAACCACTAATTTAATGACATCATTTATTATGGGAGACGATAAATAAATAGATGAATGAAAATTTATACAATATGCACTTAGTGCTTTCTTTGTTTCAGTAACTATGATAGCGAAAAGAAAAAAAACAGCGATCCCTGCTTTCTAGAAATGTCTCATTTAAACTATATTACTTAATCTTTATCTAGCTATTACAGTATTTTTCATTTACTAGTACCCTATTTATGTGAATTTCTTAGTGATGCAAGATTTTAATTTCTTTTTTCTTTTCTTTGGTACTGGGGATCGAACTCGGATCCTTGTCCTTGCAAAGCAGGCAGCAGAGTCACTGAGCTAAATCTCCGGCCCCTTATTTTCTATTTCTTTATGTTCCTAGTACAGAATACAAACTTTGACATAATTGGCTTTCAAGATCTGTACAAAGGGTCTTAAGCTCTGAAGCCCCTGCCAACCACAGTAGCTGTCTATTCTCTTTTCCATCTTTTTCTCTGAACAAACCATCTTTTGTTATGGAAAAAAAGAACTTATACATGGAATGAACAAATGAATGAGTGACTGAATGGATAGAGGAAATGACATTACCAGTAAATGAGGCTGAAGAATCACTCAGTGAATGAGTTTTCTTTGCATCCCAGGTATCTACTTTTCTGTGAAATAAGGAAACACACAAGGTAAGCCTTCTAAATTCACAGATACTGTGTAGGGGAGATGAATAACTAAAACATACAGAGACAAACAGAGATTTCGATATTTATCATCGTGTGTAACTTAAAGTGTCTCAAAGAGTTTACAGTGTTTCGTTGTAGTTATTAAAAAGCCTTAGACTCTCTAGGAAGGCTGAGATAGAAGGTAAAAAGCAAAAAAGCAGAATGAAATAAATAAGCCAATCAAACTTGGGGATCAAAATCAGTGTGATGGACCGATGCAAAAGAACCCTTTAGAATATCAGGAGGAGCAATCGCCTTCTCCACTGGTCAAGAGGTCAAGAAAACCGTTTTCAGCCGGCTTGAAGTTTTGAAGATCACCGGAAAAGTAGAGCCCATTCAAGAAAGCATGATCTGGGCTGGGGATTTAGCTCAGCGGTTTGTTGGCCTGCTGCGCAAGCGCAAGTACCCGAGTTCAACCCCCCACCCGCCCCGCCCCCATACCGGGGCGGTGGGGGAAGAAAGCATGATCTTCACCATGAAGGGTTTGAAAACCATAATAGACATTTTAATGACCTGAGGAAATGTAGCTTTTAAGCACTTAGGATGAGCAGAGTGTGATTAGTTCAGTATCTGCTTTGATCAAATTAGCTATTGATTAGAGTTCCAAAGTGTCTGATCTCTCTTCCGAACTAGGCTTGAGGCAGTGATCAGGAGCCCGAGGCTCCAAATCCACAGCTCAAAAGGAAAAGAGAAAAGAAAAAGGAGTAAACGATAAAATAGATGAATAGACAGCCTGAAATACGAGCCCTTGGCTTTGAGATATTCAGTACCACATTCATTTTGGGTGAGTGTGTGTGTGTGTATCTCACAGATGCTTTTATTCATAGCGTGAAATAAACTGACCCATAAGTGTGCGGCAATGTTTCATGCTCCTTTGCAACATAACCTGCTTAAATTTATAGCAGACCATTTGAGACCCTGTATGAAAAAACAAAACCAAAGCCAAAATGATAGGCAGATCGCCATTTCACACCACCTGCACTCAAGTCAAGAGCCAGCTAATGACCAGGAATAGACGCAAGGCCCAAACCTTTTGAGGTTTTACTTCTTTTATCAACACTCCCAATTTTACAAATGACAAAGCTCACCAATCCAATCCCTATCCAAATTCCCTAGCAATATTGGGTGTATAATAAAGCTTTCGCGGGGTTACAATCCTGTGTTTAGTTTAGTTTAGTTTAGTTTAGCTTTTTAGTACCGGGGTTTGGACACTAGACCTTACGCTTGCGAGGCAGGCGGCGGAACCACTGAACTAAATCCCGGCACCTATGTTTTGTTTAGTTTTGATTTTTTTTTTCTTTCTTTCCCTGCTGGGGTCAAATCCAGGGCCTCACACGTACCAGGCAGGTGTTCCACCACAGAGCACTGAGCGACACCCAGAGTCAAATCCAAACTTGATGATCTGCAGCATCCGGGTTAGGAGCAAAGACTGCACTCCAGGGGTGGGGCGTCACCCACTGCGCAAGCGCAGCAGCAGCACCAAGGTGCCTTCTGGGAAGGCAGGAAGGCTGAGGGAGACAGGAGGAGACTGGGGCCAAGTTCCACATTTAAAGGGTAAGTGTGAGGCTTCCACAGAGCTAGGATTAGAAGGTTCAAGTGCTCCTTGGATGCATAATTTTAAAACATTTCTACTTCCTGTAACCTTTTTCAAATAAAATACCATTAATTTTCAGAAATTATTTAAATAGAAACACTACACAGGACATGGAAATGGGCGGGGGGCGTATTATTCCTGGCGTTGAAACTCTTTTGAATAGGAACTGTGTAACATCGGGGAAGTCATGGAAAGAAACCAGAGTTCTAGTGAAAGTTCTGACAGAAATTCTGAGTATCATTTTCAGATAAATGTCCTTCAGTATTTACCCAATTTATAAAAGTAAAAGATTTTTAAAAATTCATATACGTCACACATATACCTGGAATCTTTTTGAAAGTTGTGATAGGAATGTTTACATGAACCAATTTTTGTGCACTTATTTTTATGCTTAGAAAAAAATGGAAGAGTATCTTTAACTTTTACAAATTGTTTCTTCTGAGCGGGGGCACTCTTGTAAACAGCACTCTGGAGGCTGCAGCAGAAGGATCATGGAGAGTTCGAGGCCAGCCTGGGCAGCATAGTGAGTTCAGGGCCAGCCTGAATTACCAAATGAGACCTTGTCTCAAAAATAAAGTAAAATAAAATAAAAATTGCCCTATTTAGAAATAACATAGATTCCGAGCCTGCCTGAAGTAAATTCTGAGGTCCAGTATTTTCTAATGATGTTAAGATATTGGACTTCACTTAATAAATACGTTTTTTTATCTGCGAAATAAAAGCACTTGAGTAGTAGAATGATATATACAAGTATATAGTATATGATATGGACAAATGTTTGCAGAATTAATTTAATAACACTAATGAACCTATTAATGCTGTTTGCATACCTTAGAAATATTTATAATATAGCATTATGTATGCTATGATACATATTTGTATAATCTCTGCATATGTAATTTACTACAATGTTAAGCAAATGTTTTCATTTTTTTTCTAATGGGAATATGTTTTGGCTTTTTAAAGATTGGTTCATTAGTCATATGTTGCAATCTTCCCATTGTAGTCCTTTGGTTAATTGGTCAGATTTAAGAATGTTGTTTGTGAATAGAAAAGATATAAAACTGGTGCAAAAAATAGCAAATCTACTGACATTTATATTTTTAGTTTGTTATCAACATTTCCAAATAAGTGCACATATTCTTATTTTTCTTTGCATTCAAAAACATTTTATTTTAAATAGTTTAATAAAGTACATCTACATGAAAGTGCACAAATCAACAGTGTATAGTTGGTAAATTTTCAAAGAACACACTGAGGTGTGTTGTTTCGTAGATCAAGAAACAGTAATCTCAATGCCCCAATGTTTCGTCCCTTGGGCCCTCCTTGTCACTTCTTCCCAGTATTTATTTTGATTCATATCCCAATAGATTAGTTATGTTTGTTTTTGAGACTTCAAAATAGAAAGATAGAATTCCTCAATATGAGCTTTTCTTTTTGACTGCTTGCAAGTAATATATGTTTATGATATTCATCTGTATTATTGTATCTAGCAGTATGTCAATCCATTGCCTGTGTGGCATTTGATTGCATTAATTTTCTCTATGTATTTCTACGCCTGATGAAAATTTTTGTAGTTTTCAGTTTGAACTATTATTTAGAACATTATGCTATAATTATTCTTATCCTTGGGTATGGAGGTGGACACCTGTAAACTAGCACTCTGAAAGCTGAGGCAAGAGGATTGTCATGAGTTCAAGACCAGCCTGGTCTACATGGTGAAACCATGTCTCAAAAAAACAAACAAATAAGCAAAACAATTCTTATGTCTGACCATTAGTAAACATATATATTTCTAAAAATAATAGTGTATTACTAGTAATAAAAATTAGGTTATTACATGTGCACGATTAGCTTTAGTGAACATTGCCAGTTTTTCAAAATGGTTTTACCAGTTAGCACTCCGTCCAACAATGTATATGAATTTTGATACCAGTGTGTTTGAGGACTAAGTTCTTTTCACAAGGTGGGCAGTGAAATTTTAAAGCAATGATATAATTTACTGTAGTTTAGCTTCAACTTTTGAAAACCCATACATCTATTAAGTTATTTTTCTAAGATACCCTTTGCTTATAAATATGTAAACCCTCTTAAATTGATTAGTCCATGTTTAATTTTTCACTGTAGTGGTCATTTGTACATATTGTTGGATTTGGTATTCTATTTTTTTATGGAATTTAGTCTGCATTGTTGCTCTGGTATTTCACTAAAATAGTGCTAAGAGATGTCACAAGAATTTATTATGCTCCTACAGGAATCATAGGACTATGCCAGGCAAGGCATATTGACCTTAAAGCATTGGAATTCTACCTCTAGTGCAGGGAACAGGTAAGAAAAAGCCAATATAATTGTAGTAATTGCGCATCATGGTCAAATAAAATGCATGAGAGAAATATGTAATCTGAGATAGAAAAAGGGAAATATAATGAAAGCTGTTGTAAAGAAGGGACTTCTTAGCTGAATTTAAAAAATGAAGAAGATTTTTAGTCAAGTGTGTATCAGTATCACCTTGATTATATTTTTTCTTTTTTTTTCTCTTGTGAAGAGAATTCTGTGAAGTTTTTAATTTTCCCCTGTCTTCAACGGAAATATAAGTAGTGCTTATTATACAAAGGAGGTAGTACTGTAGAAATATGTATAGAGGCAGATTAAAAACAGAATTTCTCCTGCCCATCTTACACTCCATCTCATTCCCAAACTGCATTCAATATTTAAAACCTTGCTTTACTCCTTCCTTTTTTGTGTTGATGTATTTATTGCATATAAACTATAAACCTGCAATACTTGTAGCTTCTGCCTCTATGTAGCTCCTTTGCATTTTAAGAAATTCTAAGTTTCTGTTTAAAAGTGATGTTAAATGTGTACCTCAGTTACTTGCTTTTATATTTCATGGAAATTTGTTCTGATATTGTGTTGTATTTCATGATACAAGCCAATATATTTCATTTTACTTTATATATAAAATTAACATTACAAATAAGTTAATAGCTTTATAGATCTTAGATGCTATTTTTTAGTTAAATCCCGTACCTCTTATCCCTACCCAGTGTCACATTCCCACCTGAGACAACCACTGTCTTGAATTTTGAGCACCTTGTTTTTATTAACTTGATGTGATACCATATACACCCATATCAGCAGATAGCAATTAATTCATTTTTAAATTTTTATAAATATACATATTATGCCTAATTTACACAAATAGCAAATTATACACATTTTATTTCTTAGTGGTATATTTTCTTCCCTTTCCTTTCATTTGATCTTTTGTTCTCTTGCATACACTTCCGCCTTCCCTCATAAATCCCTACTAAACTGTTTTGGAAACCTAAGTCCATCTTTGTATTCTCCCAGACTTTGCTCCAGTTCATTTAGTTGTAAAGAAACATTGTTAAAAATTATACAGTTTGGAAGTATGCATAATTATGAAAACAGTGAACTTTATCATGTATACACATGTCAGTGATAAATACAGTTTTATATTCGTTATATATGTTGTATATGTTTATTCAGTAATAATCAATAGATTGCTCTGTGTTAACTGACAAATCTATTTTTAATGACTATATAAAACTCCATATTGTGGATATATGTGGTTATTCTATTATTCTTCCTTTGTTGATTATCCACGTACTGATTTCCATTATGAGCACTGCTTTTATGAATTTGCCAGTATGTAACACTTTTGGCTTTTTTTGTGGTCTTTAACTCTTTGGAATAAATTTCCAGGAGTGAGATTACTTAAAGAAATTTTTAGCGTTAGGAAGTGTTGCTAAAAACTGACTTTGTATTTATAATCCCAAAAGATATTCATGAGGGTACACTTTTTTCACATCCTTGTTCTTACTTTTCTTCTTTACAATTTTGTCACTGTGGTGTGTAAAAGTGATATTTCATTACATTAATTTGTAAGCTCCTGAACAATACCAAATTTGACCTTATTATTTAATTTTCTTTTAATTGTTTATTTCCTTTGTTATTTATTTCCTTGTTATTTTTGATCTTTTACCTATTTTTCAATTTGTAAGAATATTTTCATAGTATGCATATTATCTCTTTATGTTTTGTTTTATAGTTTCCCTCAATATTATTTTCTGTGAATGCTTATCTTATAAAGAACAAACAAAAATACTGAATGAATAAGAATATTTGTGAAACTATTGCTTTATTTCCTTAAGCATCAATCCCAACTAGCTGTCTAAAATTTGAGGAAATAAAATAATTTCAGAAAGCATACAGAATCTTTGTGCTTTCTCAATATGTCCACAATTAAGATTGTCTTTTGTGACTGAGGTTAAAACTTTAAAGATTAAATTTTCTGGAAAGGTACAAAGGAGATTTAGCTTTGGCAACTGTTACACAATTCCAAGGCAGAGCCCTTACTCCCTTAATCAAGGTATATGCCCTTGGATGATATGAGACAAAATTGTCACAGTTCGTATTAGTGCACATAGTTTAGTACAGTTAGTGTGCTGAGGAAACCATGATTACCTTGTTATTTGAACCTTTGGATTCTAGCTTTTACAGAGTCAGAAGTTAGTGTTGGTTAATTACTGTGAGCAGCATTAAAATGAGTTTCCTGAAATACATAAATGTGGATATCTTCTAGGATATTATTCTTTTATCAAGACACCTTTTGGGGGGCATTTTAGTAACTGAGTAGCCTCCAGTGAAAAGGAATATAATTTATGTCAAACACTAGGCTGACAATATTTAATTACCTGCCATTAGAAGCCATCAAAGCAGGTTTATGATTGCACCATACACGTACTGTATTCCTGGTAATGTCAGTTCAGTCCTCTGGTAGTAAATACAGAGCATCCTGCCT